AATTAGAAGTTTATGAACAGAAAGGCAGACTTCCTTGGTCCATTAGTATTAACTTATCTCTTTTTTCAAGTTGACATGAACTTTTGACAAAAAGGGTGCCTTTGATCGGATCGGAAAGGATCGAAAATCTACTACCAAGGGTGCATGGACAACCGTGGTGCGGGTGGCCCATGCAGGAAACCTAGCTGGCTTAATTAAACTGGACAAATGTAGGCACCATTAACTTGATCTTGATTAAATGGCGTCCGATAAGAAGTGTGGTTAATTTAAATGAAAACTGACAATATACCACGGTTTTTGAAACGATAATTGACATCCAACCATAAAATATATACATAGACCCAGGGCGGAACTTCGTACCCAAGTAACTCTCGACTGCTACAGGTCGGTTTCAATCTTCAGGCTTGCGTTTAAAACCTCGGAGCCTGCAAATGTTAGCACCAGAGGTAGGTTTAACAAATGTGTCAATGTATATACGTAGTTACGAAATTTGCAAATTAATCAAGCATTACTTACAACAGAAAATGGAAGTTAAGACTATATACTCTGGAAAGAACAACAGGCCACTTCCCTTAATAGAATTCATGTTAGAAAAAAGAACTCACACACGGAATTTTTGGACAATACAATACAATACAAGGACCCCGCTTTCCTTTAAGGTCGGACACGCCATCAGAAGTTATTTCAAAAAAGGAAAAATAAAAACCGAACGCGCGCCTCTGGAGAGAGGGTTTCACAGTGGCTCTTGCTAACACAGGTCAGTAGTTGACCTTATAATTACGGAAAGCTTGTTACTCGTGTATAAGAGATTCCAATTTCAGTGGTATTCTAACGATACGGGGTCTGAGTTAAAAGCAAACCTGTCGAGCCACACAACGTGAAAATTGAAGTAAGTGAACGTCAAAAAAGCATAGAAAGTCGCACAGTTTTTCGTCACTTTAAGCCTACCCTTGGTAATGTGTTTTGGCACTCCAGTCGGATATCAGTTCCGAAACATTGTTTAAGAAGCAATGGTGAATTCAATACTTGGACGGAGGATTCATAGAAGGCTTCGACATCACAGAGTCCGTCTAAAACGGTCTCAAGGGAGGCGTTCACCGGCGTCGGAGAGTCCGAGTAAGGCAACAGTTCTTCGGCTTGTAGAGAAGACTGTTTGACCGTCGCAAAGTTATAAGACTTGGAGAGTTCCGTGTTGTCTTGCCCGGGGAAGGAGCCATGTGCAGGAGGCTTTCAAGGGACGCAAAAAGAACAGGGTTATCGTAAAAAATATTTTTGATGGGAGTATACTAGACTTAAACGAGACACTCGGATGTAAACTGTGACTGCCCAGTATGCTCACAAGAATTAAACCCGGAAGGCCAGGATGAAAGTTTGTTGAGCGATTAAGTAGCAAACAGTTTGCCTGACTGTCATCCCATATTCAAGGCGACCTAAAGGCCCTATAGATAGAAGACAAATGAGGATTCACAAAGACTGCAGAGGTGACGGATTTCTTCTTTCGACATTAACATGCTTGAAGTTTGCTATTGGTTGTGATTAATGAAATACTATTTGTAATTGCGAGTCCAGCTTGCT